GAGAGGTGAGGCAGGACAGCGAAGACGGGACTTCAAGTGAATGTAGAGAAGACAGAGGTGATGAAGATACCACACCAACAACTCCAACAACAACCACAACAAACTCCAATTACCATCAGTGGGAGAAACTTAAAGGAAGTAGTCTCTTTCATTTATCTAGGCAGCACTGTTTCGACAACAGGTGGCACAGATGAGGACATGAAAGCCAGTCAGGATCGGGAAAGCAAGACAAGCGTTGACAAGCCTGAAATCGGTGTGGAGATCTACTGCACTGCATCGCACCGCACCTCACTGCACTCAGCATAAAGCATGAACAAGATCTGGATTTCCAACACGAATGTCAGTCAAGTCAGTGCTTCTATGTGATGGTTGGGAGACTTGGCGCATCACGAAAAGCATTTCCAACAAACTATAGACATTCATCAACAACTGACTACGCTCGTTGCTGGAGAGCAAATTGCCAGAATAGTAAGGATAAGCAAAAAGAGACTGTGGGAACGAACCAACCGAGAAGCTGTCGCTCAACAAATGTGCACTGTAAGGAAGTGGAGATGGATTGGATTGGGCATACACTGAGAAGGCCGACTGGAGACATCCTGCTGCAGGCCAGTTGGTCGAGTTTGACCCAGATGGGAAGTGACGAGTTGGGTGTCCGAGTTGAGTGTGACATGGAGTAGATCGTGCGAGGTGGAAATGAGAGCTTGTGGGCTGTCGTGGAGCCAGGTTCAAAAGACTTCAGAGAACAGAGCGCACTGGAGACATGCTACTGAAGCCTTATGTTTCATTAGGAATCCAAGGGACAAATAATAACAATATAATAATAAAGTACACTTACCCAGGACAGTAATTTCTTCGCCGACCTGGTTCTGTTCATGTGCCTATTTTGCACTCAAATTAAATTTTTTTAGACGTTAGTTGAAAGTTTAATCAGGTGTAATTTATCTGTACACTTAGAAAGTGTTATTTTCAATAAAGACTGCGATACAGGGATAACTAAAATTTGGTTGCAGTAATTTAAAGTTTAATCTAATCCATAGTTATATTGATAATATTCCAGTTGCATGTAAAGTCAGTTAAGTTGCAGCAAGAGATAGGACTTTATTATGGAGTTCAACACTAGTTACGCCCATAAATAACTTCTAAAAATGTAATTACTTATTATGATTGACAAGAAATATTATTGTGGATAATTCCCTTATTTCTATGACCTGCATCCTATTACGTTATCAGCGTTGAGCAACATACACAGTAATTTTTACTTTGTTGCTGAAATCAACAAAGTCTTCGAAGTAATCGTCGGTTGAGGTCTGTGAAGTTTCCGAGTTGTATGTTACATCATAAATGCGTCTTATGACTATAGGCTAACATATCGTGTTATCCCTATTGTAATTATATCCATTCTGATTGGCTAGACCAAGCTTTAAAATTGGTTGAAATCAAAAACTGAGCTGAAATCAGCTGTTGAAAACTTCTATGAAATTTCCAAAGACAGTATATCCGACTGACACATTTTTATAATTTTTAGAATATTCATCTATCAGATCACCATTTCAGTGTTAAAAGACAGTGTATAATGATCGGGATAAATGACTTCATCACAAAGATGATACAGAATTTTTGTATCTCAGGAGGACAATCTTTATGGTGTTGTGTTTTCTCAGCTGGAATGTTTAATCGTAAAGCTTTCATTGTCATTCTAGACAAAATCATCAACATAAACTCCAGGAAGAGGTGGGCTATTAGGTTTTCTCCGTAATTTATTTAGTAGCTTGTCTTGTGTGTGATTAATTGTTTCTGCAAATCTTGTCGTTGTCTCTCCGAAGAGGGCGATCACTCTGTCTAATGTGGTGTTTTCTGCATCCGTCTACATGGACATCAACTAGCAGGGGAGCGGTATGACATACCTTAGCTCATATCAATGGATACAGACAACTGTGGACATGAATTTCACTGAGAAAATGCGAAAATCCTGGATAGAGGAAATACAATGAATGTCAGAGAACTTTTAGAAGCATAATTTTCAAGTCTATCAGCAATCAATAGACATATTGATATTGACTCAATCAATCAATCAATAAGAAATAACAGGAAAGTCAAATTCCAGGTCATCAGGACAACCAACCAAAATAAATATGGATAAAAAGACTAGACCATGAGAAAAAAATTAATCACACAGAAGGCCATTAGGACAAGCTACTAAATAAATTGTAGACAAAACATTATCGCTCACTTCTTCCTGAAGCTTATGCTGATGATCTTGTCTAGAATGTGAATAAAAGATTCATGATTAAGCAATCCAGCTCACAGAGAACAACACCATCAAAATAATTTCATGAATTCTTGTTTTGTTCTTATGTTAATTTCCTCTACATTCTTGAAAGGTCAAGCATAAATATCTGTTTGTCACTCGGTCACTTGAGAGTGGCCAGTTTTATGCTTATAAGCAGTCAAAACTGCCTGAAGTTAGTGGGTTAAATTTGAAATATTATCATTGGAGTTTGTGACTCGACATTGTATTATACTGCTATAGGAAGTTCTTTCCTTAGGTCTACTATATGTTAGAGCTCATCGGCAAAGTGCATATGCTACCTTATTTTATTTTAGCATCATATGCTTCTGGATCCAGAGGTGTTAAACTGAGTAAATACTATGGTCAAGTTCTGTCTTTGAATTCAGTATTTTACACTAAAGACTACACCTGAATATCAAGTGGTTAATCGATTTGAAGAACAACTAAGGTGTATATATAGCTGATTTCTGAACAAAATACAATGAACAATATGTTTATAAAATTATGAGTAACAAAAAAGATTAACCTCAATGTTGTCAGTAATCGCGGTTAAAAACTAACAACCGGAAGTGAGTTTGGAAAGAATAAGAGGGCATCTCTTAAAAACAACTAAAATATAAGAGTAGTGTAAGGACAAATCAAAAACGGTACAACAGATGTACAGAAATAATTATGTATACTTTTTTAGAGTCAGTATATTAGTAGATGGTCCAAGATGAATAAACAATGTAGGAGCTTTTCATCGACACTTAACAGTGGCTTCATAATTTTGATTGTGATAGGTTCAAGAGTTTACTGAAGATAAAGTTCGAATTGCATTTAGATGAAATAAAATAACTCGTAATGTTGTTTTCTTTACCGTATATTAGCCATAAATTAAAATCCCCTCTAGCGTGTTAGGACTTCCTGTTGCATAAATTTTAATTTAGTTTCAACAACAAAGTTAGCTAGATGAAAGAATTATTGTCACACTTCGAATTAATTTAACAAATGAAGATATGAATCTTTTGCATCATGAATCAGTTTTTACATATGAGGTGTGATGGAAGTTTGAGGAAAATTAAGAAACTTTAACAGCATCGCTTAATATATAATATCGCTTACTCAGTCTTCTTCTTGATAATTGTATGAAAGCTTAAATATTTCGCGGGCGATCAACAGTATGGGCATATCAGCAGAGCAATTAACCATTTCTCACAAAACTGGATGAGTAATTTTTGAATCACACCTCTACGACTTTGCAGTTGGTGTGACACACCACTGTAAGGAGTTTTTTGAGTTATAACCATCTACTGATGCAGAAAAAGGTAATTTTTGGATTCTTATCAGGTTTTATGCAAAGCATTTATTCAACGTTAATGAAAAGTCAATTCAGAATGTGAATACTAATCATTAAAAGCTTTCCAAATTAGTTTATTGTATAATGAAAAAGATTTATGAAATTCTTTCATAAAACTGAAGTGTTCTCCTGAATATGACAGTTAAATTACCTGATGACAGTTTTTGCTTGCTGGCAGTATTTTAGAAGTGTAATTTTCAAACATCTAAAGCTCATATTGCAAGGTCTAACCCAAGAAATATTTCTGAACATTCATTCGGTACACTCATACGATGTTCATTCCCTGTTAATATGTAAATGCCTTATATCTATGTAAAAAAATACTACAGAAAAACTCTGATGTTCAGTGAGTAAATGGAGAGCACTGCGTTACAGCTTATCATTGGGATTCAGTGTTTTCCATAAAACTCGAAACTAGTGAACATTCAGATTTCCCCCTGGTTTACACAACCAGGTTAATTAAACTAATTTCCATCAAAGTTTGTCTGTGCCAGTTACATACACGAGAAATCAAATAAATCTTACATTTTAGTAGATTTGAATTATTCCATGGAAAATAGTCCATTACAAATCCTTCGGTGTACTAGTGTAGTTAGTCAACTGCATAACTAAATGCCTAGAAATTAATAAACTTTTGAGAACAGTAATATAAAATTCTGGACTTACCGATTTTACATCTGTTACCCCTTATATATAATTCTACAAGTAATCGCTATCAGTTGTTTCCCGAATAACTTCAAGAATATCTCTATGGCTATGCTCTCTTAGATAAAGAAAACGAAACCTCTCTCAACCAATGATTCATTAGTAGGCAAGGAAAAAGCTCAGTAGACAACTAGACGCTACATTGAGTTGCAGTTAACAAGAACACTCTTATGAAGTTTAGCAGCAAACATGAAATAATAAACTCCGAAAAATTATGTGGTAATTCATTAGTCAGCAAATCGTGTTGAAACTATTTATCTGTTTTAAATGTTGTTGAACTAAATAACTACAGTCTTTCAAGTACATCTTTTGAAAACAAGATATCTAATGAAATACAAAAGTTATTCAGCACTTTAATATTTATTGTGTATTGAAGTACCTTAGGTTATCGTCTTTTTGTATACTTAGGAAGGAAATTGTTCAACTGATTCACTTACATATTTCGTAACGATGAACTGCGAATGACATTCTAAAATGAAGTCATTTTCATTTACACTTGTATAATAGAAGTTTGCGCAAGAAAAGTTTAGTCGGAATAGGTTATTCATTAGGATCCCGTTTAATATTCACAAGTTAGTTATTTTATGTAAATATTGGTTGAGATTTACTCATTACTAGATAATAATAAACATTTTCCATGAATACATTCAAAACTGTTTGATAGCTTTACAACGGATCAGGTTTAAACAAACTACCTCTTGATATTCTCCGCGAGATACCTATTAAACAATCACGTAAGGACCCAAAGCACTTGAAATAAATATAGATATCTAATAGTTCACGTACAGAATTGAGATACCAGAAGAAATCAGCTATGTCATAATCAACACCCGTTTGATATGAAATAATTCCCGTTGAACTAAATCTTGCAATCGTATAGAACACACTCTGACATATTGCTATAATAATGAAAGAAACTGATGATATAAATAAAAGTAGTGAACGTCGTAGATGTCCTCCATCTGAAGATGTTAATTTAGTCAAAGAATGCTGACTTAATTGTTTATGTATTTTCATTAAAAACAGGGAATCGATCGTTATTAAGAAAAGTGTTTGAATAGGTGCTAAGTTGGAAAATAGTGTGTGATAGGTTTGTATTGGTAAATCGTTTCTATCCACCCAACACAGAATACGTTTGTCTGCTAAACGCCAGTCGACTTTTACACCAAAAGGTAACATCATGGATGCACTGAAAAGCAGAATACCAATGTAGATATACCATCCATAAATGTTAGGGAAATTCTTCAGTTTAGTTGGAATGTAAATAGCTAAACATCTGTCTAAGGATGCACATATATGCATATTACACATCATTGTTGAACTGAACGCGTACATATAGCGCTGAAAACGACAGGCTGTTGGGGACACATTTACGATTGAAAAAAATATGCTTCCATGTGATGCATATGTTAAACCTCTCACAGGAAATTGCCATAACCATATAAATGTAATATTGGCAATTGCACTGGATAAGCATATTCCCGAAATGTAAATAATTTGTCTTGGTACTTTGTTTGCTCTCAAAATAGCGTAAAACGCAATGAATAAATTTGTTACCACTCCGAAAAAACTAAAGAACGGCAGTACATATGCACACCATACTGAAACAATCGTGGATATAACACACTTAACACTTTGTGCATATGACCATTCAGTTTTCAACAGATTACACTGCTGAAAAACTTTATATGGATAGTCCGAGAAATTCAATGAGTCTTCATTCAAATTCATAACATTTATTCATGAAAATTAGATTTACAATTTGTTTCTGAGTGCATAAATTTTGAAAGTTATACTATGAACAAGGTAACAGAGTTTGAGCACACTTATTGAAGACTGATTCACTTCGTTTGATGACCATGTTTTGATCCAGCTGAACATGAATTTACTTTTGGTGGATTTTTTTCCTGCGTCATCTTATCTTATAAATAATTTCTCTCACTGCTTGGCATTTATTAACAGGATAGTTTCAGATTAAATGAAAACGCTTTCCGGAACACTTATCGTATCCAAAAATAGGGCGTAAAAAGTTATTCCGATGCTAATATTATAATCACTCGACCAATGGCTGATCAAATTGTGCTTATCTTTATATCATTTAAACTTTTTTTAAATATTTTTTAACATTCAGTTTTGAACAGATTTTAACTGACACCTTTTTCAGTACATAGTTTAATTTTGAAAAAATTTCATCATTCAGGCGAATAAAATGATTGAACTAAGGGATACTCCTTTGACTATGAGGCTAAATAATTATTGAGTTAAACATCCCGAACAATCTAATTTAGTCTTAGGACCAGCGATTTAAGCCTTATTCCTAATTCATATCGAAAATTTCCTTCAGATTTCTAGCAATGCCCTACGACAAACTGATTAACTACAGGTCTTATTCATAAGCCTTTGATTTAGACTTAGATAAGAAAATCCTCTGTTTCAGCTGCTGAGATGACTTACATGCCTTCCAATCTCATGGTAATAGATCAAAACAAGTGGTGTTTGAGACGGATTTCATATTTGACTTTTGGTCAGATTTTTTAGTTCAACTGGTGGAATATCAAGTTTATAACTCTAAAGCCAATTACTTACACTTTTGCCTGGTTCACTATATATTCATACATGTGTCGTACGCATATAAAACCCGAATATTCATTTCCTCAGTATGAACATGTTACAAAATGAATACAATTTTAAAATACTGAATAACCCTAGTGCTTTTAACCAATATTTTTGTGAACACATTGAATCCCGTGGAGTAAACTGAAATCTGTTATGACGATATGCTACAAACTAAATTTATTCTATCCTATTCAGCAAATTCAAAACAGCACTTTAAAAGTACTTTCATTATGTAATCACTGAGACCCTTCGGACATTCAGTTTAGTCAGATTGGTGTATTCGAAAGTAGATTTCTACGTTTATAGCAACAAAAGGAAGAATCTTATTGTTTCACTGGAAACTTCGAGCTAAGATAATTACCAAAACCGAAAAGGTATCTGCGATTATTTTGAGTAAACCTCAGAACATTTTAAATTCAATACGACTAACTTTACGCCCTCCAAAAAAGTATATATTTCTGTAAATATCTCTGTTAATTTCAAAATAAAAAGGTGGAAGACATCTGGTGAAGCTGAAGTCATATTATATTCCTTTATTTTACGTGTTGCATGAATGCCTGTTAAGATTTAGTATGTACATGTCCATAAGTTAACAGGTTTATTCCTTTGTTCAAATGTCGAGTAGAATAAACCATACCTGAGTTCCATATCCTTAAGGATTCAGTTGTAGTCGGTAAACAAAAGTCACTGCAGAACCCTCACACTGTCATTGTGATGACAGTGGATTGCATAAAAGTAATGGGATTATTCATTACTTTTATCTTCTGGTCTTTTAATTGTTTATCTTTGATTAAAACTATGTCCTAAATTTCAGTGTGCCTAATTAGTAACGACTTGGTCAGTCAATCGGTCTCCTACTGTCTTTTAATGGATGCTCCATTTTTATTATTGCCATATTTGTTCACGAGTCAGAGAATTGCTAAAAGTCTAATATAAATGTAAATAAAACTCAAGCACTGTGGTAGAATTTAATTCGATATTAAATTTGTTTATTTGATTTATAACACACAGTGATATCTGGTATTATTTACTTCATGACTTTTTGAGCATAAATTATTGCTCATAATCATATTGACGTAATCACGCTACTATCGATATCTAATTTTTATAGTCCTGTCACTTCTTATTCATTGTTTATAATTGGTAGTTGAGTTTTCTATATCTCTGGTGTAGATGTTGCGTCATTTCTATTACATGTGTTAGGTGTTGTGCTAATAGTTAACGACCATCCCTCGCAGTTTATTAAGAAACTCGTACGAACGTACAAGAACCAAAATAATAACAGTAACATGAATGCCAACAAAAACGATAACATGAGTAGACAAATCTAATATGGAATTGAAACTATTTAGACAAACTAAATCATATTCACAGAGGTTACTAAGCCATGTTTCCTGTGATATTACTACACAAGTATTCGGATGACAATTTGTGGATAAGGTTGACTAAAGGTAATCAACTTTCTCCGGTAAACACCTGCAATTTGAGCGAAGTATTTCAGGAATAGTCATTTGATCTATGATCATATGCTTGAGAGACCACTGCCTATCACCTTGTAGAGTGAAAGGTCATGACAATTTAAAGAAAGGACCAGAGTACATAGTGCAATTAGATGAAAATTGAATGAATAAAACGATGTAGAAAGAAAACATTTGATGAAATATATTCCGTGGTGAAATGAGGTAGCTCAGAGATCAAGCTGGTCGCCAAATGAACTACAACCGCCATGATTACACTCCATTTTGTGTTCATCCAACGTCGTATAGTTTATTATTTCAATAGTTTACTAGCGGATCCTAAGCTTGAATAAGGAGGAAAGTTTAGGAGTAGAACCAGTAACAATATCTTAGAAAACCAGTTCAATCGCTTACGAAACTATAAAGCACAACGACTTTTTACTGGAACATTGGAAATCACCTCTTGAAGCTAGTCACCAATGGGCACTAGTTCAATTGGATTCGAGGATTTGTGACTATGAGAACAAATACTTAACGATGAGATTGGGTGGTGGTCAGCTTATGTCGTGAACTAACAGAATTCAGAAATATGGACCATTGGATACTGACCCACCGACTCAATGGCAACATGCTGGCCACTAGACCTGAAGGTGGTCAGTTCAATCCATGGTGGGGTCGTAGGTGCGCACTGCTGAGGAGTCCCATGCTAGGAGGAAGCAGCTGTTCAATGCCTACAGGTTTCCAACGCTCCTCAAACTGATGTCAGTCCACGATGAATAACAACTTAAAAAATCTCTAAATCCCTCACCTGGTTAACCAGTTCACTAGTTACTAGCCGGTCATAAGCCCAGTTAAAGGGGGAAGAATCCGCGTAGGTCGAGCAACACCACTCAGTAAAACAAATCCAACCGCTAAACAAACTTCAAAGCACAGCACAAACAAAATATAAAAAAGAAAAACAAAATTATTCCTCACTGGAATCGGAGAGGCGAAATCACGCCAGTTGGTGAAAGACTTCGCGAAGCCAATTGGCCGATGTGTCTTCTCCTCTCTCGATGAAAGCGAAAGTAACAATGGAGACATGGAATGTCAACACCATGTTTGAAGCTGGTTGGCAAGCCTGCTCAGATTGCAAAAGAGATGAGGGAGTATGGCATAGAAGTGCTAGGCTGGGAATCTGTGGAAGTAGATGGAATGGAAGTGGACTCTCCAAACTGTCAACTGGAGAGTCAATAATCTACTCCGATATTGTCACCCACACGACAACCACGAGCACAGCACACTGAGTTCTCGAGTGGCCACCATAATGTCCCCAACATCATCCAAGGCTCTCTGTCTCTCATGCAGTGGGAAACAATCTCCTCAACCATCACGATCAAGATCACGACAGAAAGATTCAACTTGAAAGGAAGCAAAGTCACAAACATCCAGTGCTACGCCACACACTCACAAATAATGCGGATCAAGCGAAGAAGGAGAGCTTCTACAGACAACTGCAATCAGTACTGGACAAGACCACAACCCACCCCAGATGGTGATATCAAGATTCATTCTGATGGGTGGAATGATATGAATGCCAAACTGGGAGCGGACAACAGGACAACAGGGAGAGAAGGAAGCATGTGTCGAGAAGCAGTTGGTGAAATGATGAGTGGTAATGGAGAACTAACTGTTTGCAGACTTCTGAGCATTCAACGATGTGGAGATTGGAGGCGAGGCAGTGTGTACCACCTCGAGGATATTCACAAGACAGTGAGTGACATGTATTTCACCAGACACCCAGACACATACACTACACTGAAAATCAGATCGACTTCATCTCAATGTGAAGAAAGTGGAGATGGAGACGCAGCCAGCCTACTGGATACAACATTGTATGAAATAGCAAGGTTACTCTCTGCGAGATAAGAGATCACCGTAGATAAAAGCGACGAAAGATAGTGAAGTGAAACAGATTAGGAAAGAAGGGAAACAAAAGAAACGACGGGCTGAACACTTCAAAAATCTCTTGAATCCATCACCACCACCACCACCACCACCAGCTGCAACTCGTTTGGAAATACCACCAGCAACGGCAGAACTACTAGTGAACACACGCCCTCCGACAAAAGCGGAAGTCCTGAATGCCATACAGCTGCAGAAATCCAGAAAAACAGCAGGACCAGATGGAATTTCTGGTTGGTTTCATGGAAAACAAATAATGTGTGGATCAACCTGCAACGCTACACTGCACATCATCATAGAACAGAGTATAGAATTGCAGTCAACTGGATCTTCACCTCAACTTCATCGACTTTGAAGAGGCCTTCGACAGCGTCGACCGATAAGTAATTTGACAGGCAGCTGCTTCAACACTACGGTTTCAGTGCCACAAACCCTTATCAACCTCGTTCAACAGCTATATGCTATATGATGCTGAATGCCAAGTGATTCACAATGGAGAGCTCAATGACGCCTTTGAAGTGAAGACAGGAGAAAGAGTAAGACAAAGCTGCCGCCTACTATCACCGATGATCTTCCTGATTGTGGTCGACTGGACTGAACTGCACTGGATCATGCAACAAAATGTGAGGAGCGAGAAGAAGGGCATACGCTGGCTGGACGGATGAAGAGAGCCGAGAAGAAAATTTGGATTTCGCTGATGACGATTTATGTCTA